ATAAGCTTTCATGGACTACAGCCCACTTCTTCGGATGCATCCGAAGAAGTGGGCTGTAGTCCACAAAAGCTTATGCTCTAATAAATGTGTTAGTCTCTAAGGCGCCACAAGTACTCCTGTTCTTTTTGCGGATACAGACTAACACGGCTACTACTCTGAAACCTGTCAGTTTAACAAGGAAGTTCTTTAAGTTCCTGTCCAGAGTTCAACCATAAACCAGTGGAGAGAGATTACAACTGGCCATGTATTCTGTTTCCTTTATTAAATTACCAATATAAAATAAAGAGCAGTTTAACATTTCTACTAACGGCGAAAGCAGTTTCATAAGTTCTGCATTTCACAGTTGTCCTGGTCCACAAAAAATTAGGGTCATAAGTAAATAGGAATTGCCACACCGGCTCAGACCAATAATCCCATCGCTGACAGGACAGCATGCATCACAGGAAGGTGCAAGAAACCTCCCGGTGGGCAATTCTGGAATAATGTGCTCATTCAGAAACATTTTTCAAACCACTACAGTTAGAAGTTGAAGAATTAAAGGGTTTATATTGCTTCCAAGCTATGTTTTCAAAACACAATTTCTATGTAGTAACTGGAAGTTATTAGTTGCTTTATTCTTCTAAGAAAACATACAAGATTACCTGGAAGACCAGATTTAAGGTTAGCAAGGTCAGCAAAGGGGTCGAAGTTCTGAGATTTTGGTTGGCTGAAAGACAAACCTGAAGGCACACTTGTCTGGCTTCCTGTAGTAAGAGCTTGGCCTGTGTCATAAAAACAAATATGAAGTTATGTCCAGGGCACAGATGGCAGGGGATGAAAATATCCACTTAAAAAAAAAAAAAAAGAAAAAAAGATGTTGACAGAAACTGTCTCCCTGATTCACAACAAATTGCTATCAATATTTTCTAGGTAGATTCTTGTCGAAGGCCTCTCCTCCAAAATTCTTGTCAGCGTCACCCAGAGGGTTCAGGGGCAAAGCAATTACAGGGGGCCCCTTTCATAAAAAAAAGTTGCAATACCATAGTAACATGTATTTGGAAATGTAAAAAATAACCAGTGAAATACATTCAAAAATTAATTTTTAATAATTTGAAAAATACACAAAATGCATTTAATGTTTTTAAATGTTTTAATGGTATGTATACATTTGCAATTACATAATGGGCTGTTGCTG